CAGACTCTATAAAAGAAGAGTCTGTCTTGTTGTCGTAGACCCAAGAGGCCTCTGTCCTGCTCACGTATCAAAGCGGTTTTATGAGCACCTTTTACGTCAAGGCTGAAACCGGACACCGGTGACGAATCTTCTCTTGCCGGGAAAGCGGCCTGGATATCCTGCAAGCTGGGAAGAGAAAACTGTTCTGGAACTGTGCAGTTTTGGTTGGTGTTGCAGACACTGTTGTCAAGGACCAAGCGGGAAGCACGGCCTGGAGCTTTAACAATATTCACCTTGCCTACTGCGACGCGCTCTTTGCCCCAACGTTCATAAGCGGCTTCCAAGCTGGGCATCTCTTCGAGGAAACCGGCATCGATTTCCTCTTGTATGAGCTCCTGAAGAAGGCCGGGATCTGATTCTGCGCCTTGCCAGTTTCCCTCACAGACAACAAGATCGTGGCCGGAATCGGGTTCCGATTCCCGTCGGGGCCTGAGGGTGTGGCTGCGGGGTATATCTCCATCAAAGCCAGTAGGAACTCCCTGCTGCAAAGCTGGAAAGAGAGATGTGTCCTTGTCGCCAAGCAAAGTGCTGAGTCTTTCCAGGGCTTTTAAGCAGTAAGGTTGGCCTGGCTTGACCGAAAAATCCCAATCCGAACATGTGGAAGACATATCAGAAAAGCGCTGGAAGGAGGAGCGGAGCCATGCTGTTTCGGACTCAGTGAAAAGCGGGGCCTCTTTCTGCTCGGCCACGTGCTGATGTAACCTGGCCGGGATCTGACGCTCTAACAGCCACTGCTGCCATTCACGCCGTAGGCTCTGAAGCTTGTCTTCGTGATAGCGTGGACCATCTGACCAGTCAGGAAGTGAATAAATGCCTCCGCCGTCCTGGGCAGCGGTAGGTGGTACAGATCTGGGTTTGAGCGGGATGCAAGCCAGAGCAGATTGCAAGGAGCATGTAGTCGGTGACTTCGGGGTTTGCTGCCTCCCGAAAAGCGGGAGAGTGCATTTGGCAAAGCTTTGTGCCAGAACTGTCGGGTACTCTGCAGTGCGCTGAGAAAGAAAGGCACCCGATGCATCCTGAAGACCTGCCA